GAGCCCCGGGCAGAGGACCAGGACTGCCTACTCTTCCTGCGTCTGTTTGGTCAGGAGGGTCCCTGAGGGAGGCCTCTTCCCCTCCCTCCAGCCCTGCCCTGGTCCCAGGACAGCCAGCACTGGGCCTGCAGGTCTGCTGGGGCCTGGGGCGGAAGCGTGGCTGGGCGGCCCCGGGGGGAGCGGCGGAGATAAGCGGCTTGGAGCTCCCGGGGCAGAGGGGTGGCCGCCTGGCGTAACACCCATAGCGCCAGCCTGAGAAGTGCGATAGTGCAGGCCCCGGCCCCCACGCTCCTGGGAGGAGCCCTGTTCCCAGAAGTCTGTCCCTGGACACTGCCGTCAGCCTCGGAGTTCATTTCCTGGTTAAACAAACATCTGTATGAAACGGGCCCAGTGGGGCCACGCCCAGGAGCAGCTTCGGAGGAGAGTCCCGGGCACATGGCTCTGCCGGGCCCCCTTCTTGTCGGGCTGGTGATGATGCATCCATCACGGGCACAATCAGAAAGCAGGACGGCCCCGCGTCCCACCCGGAGTCGGCCCGTCCGGTGGGAGGGCTGGGGAGGGACGTGCGGAGTGGTCCGGGCCCAGAAGCGCCTCCCGACAGCCTGCAGCCTGTGACAATGGAGCAGCCTGCAGCTCCAGAAGCTTGGGCGGGACATGACCCCTCCGTCCATCACCTCCTCATCTGGGCTGTGCAGCGGGGGGACGCTGACCCCCCAGCTTCCCGATGAGAAAGCAGGCGTCTGAGCGGGGCTTGCGCTCGGTCCTGCCGGGCGGTGGGTCCGGTCAGGAAGCATCCCGACTTCCAGCCCTGGGTGCCAGCGTGGGTGCTGCTCTGAGGCAGGGGTTGGGCACCAACCCCGGGCGCCCCTGCAGTGCTGGACGCCTGCCGCCACCCTCACAGTGCAGGTCCAGGACGGGTGTTTCGGATTGGAAGGCTCCGCCTCCCTCAGTGAACTGAAACCCCACTTACTGAGCGCTTGCCGAGGGCCAGGCACGCTGTGAAGTGCATCAGGGTTGGAGCTGACTCCCTGTGGCTGAGTCCGGCGTCTGCCCCTGACAAGCTGTGACCCTGGGCAAAGGGTAGGACTTAGTTGTGCCTCAGTTTCCTCATCTGTAAAATGGGTCATAATAGCAATTACCTCCTAGGTTGTTGGGAAGGTTCAGTGAGATAATATATGTGAAAATCCAGAGCTAAACTTAAGTGTTCAGTAAATGCTGGCTCAGATGGTAAAAAAAAAAAAAAAAAAACCTCCCTGCAATGCAGGAGACACAGGTTCAATCCCTGGGTTGCAAAGATCCCCTGGAGAAGGGAATGGTGACCCACTCCAGGATTCTTGCCTGGAGAATCGCATGGACAGAGGAGCCTGGCGGGCTACAGTCCATGGGGTTGCAGAGTCAGATCATTAGCAGGTATTATTATCAGCCGTGTTTTCCAGATGGAGCTGGGAGAAGAGGAATAACTTGTCCAAGGGTGTAAGTGTAGGAAAGGGTGGAGCCCAGGACTTGAACCCAAGCCTTCCCACCCCAGAGCACAGGGCTCAGCATCAACCTGGACGCAAGTGAGAATGGACACACAGGCCCCTGGAAGATCAGCGGTCGTCTTGACTCTCGTCTTCGTCTCATAGAACGCATCTCCTGACCCGTCCATCCTCTACAAATGAGTCTCGTTACGGAAGCTTGACCACAAGGTTTTCTTAACTGTCCAGACCCGTACCGGCAGGATACATTTCCAGCATGAGAGTTTTGTTTCCGAAGCCTTTTCGCGTGCGGGAGTCTGCAGGACCCCTGCTTGGGAGGTGGGCTGCCCTCGGTGGCCACAGAGCCCACAACAGCCCTGCGGATGCAGAAGACAGACTTCAACATGGTGCCTGTTGGGGACAGGAGGCCGGGTGAGACCTCACAGGATTCCCCCTGCTCTGCCGCAGAGGGGGCAGTGAGAGGCCAGAGGAGGGACTGACCACGGGCCCACGTTCTGCTGAATCTGGGTGGCCTTGGAGAGAGTGGAATCTCCAAAACACTGTACTCTTACTCAGGAAGCAGTTAGCGACAGACCAGTCAGGGAAGCAAGCTCATTTATTGAGCACATACAATGTATCTCAATTCCATTTGTTCATTCAAACGTGTCTTGAACTTCTCCTGTGTGCCGGGGCAGCGTTAGGTAGTGTGACTGCCGTAAAGAAAAGGATGCAAGAAGCAGGTTAGAGCGGAGGTGCCCACGGGGGCGAGCTTGTGCCCCAGGGGCCATTTGGCAGTGTCTGGAGGCACATCTGGTTGTCACAGCTCGGAGCCGGGCTGTGGCTGTCATCCGGCAGGCAGAGGCCGGGGATGCTGTTGATGGGCAGCAAGAACCGTGGGGCCCAGAATGTCAGCGGGGTCAAGGCCGCTGAGAACCTTGAGTGAGACCCAAAGAGAGACCCAAAGTGAGAACCCAGGGTGAGACTGGTCATGGATGGCCACGCTGAGGGTGTGTGTGGCTTTTGAGCAGAGACCCGAAAAAGTCCGAGAGTGAGAATGAGAAGATTCAGGAATTCCTTGGTGGTCCAGTGGCTAAGACTCCACGCTCCCGATGCAGGGAGCCCAGGTTCCGTTCGCGGTCAGGAAACTGGATCCCACATGCCTCAGCGGAGAGTTCACACGTGCGGAGCTCATTCGCTCAGTTGTGTCTGATTATTTGCGTCTCCGTGGAGTGTAGCCTGCCAGGCTCCTCTGTCTGTGAGATTTCTCAGGCACGAATACTGCATTGCGGTGCCATTCCCTTCTCCAGGGCATCTTCCCGACCCAAGGATCAAACCCGCGTCTCTTGCATCTCCTGCATTGGCAGGCAGGTTCACATACCACAACTAAAACTCCATATCCCACAGTGAAGATCAAAGATTCCACATGCTGCAACTAAGACCCAGTGCAGCCAAATAAATAAGAATAAATTTTTTTTAATTAAAAAAAAGAGTGAGAAGACCTGGGGAAGAGTGTCGCAGGCAGAGGGAATAGCAAACGCGAAGGCCCTGAGTTAGGAGGGCATCGTCCCAGAGCCAGCATGTGAGACCGGCTGGTCACTCTCCGCGTGTTTCAGGTGAAGAAGCGGAGGCTCCGAGGTTGCCGTGCACCGGCCGTCTCACAAGTACACAATCCCGGGGCCGGGGTTGGAACCTGGTGCGCTCAGTTCCAGGGTCCGTGTTCCTCTGCCTCCACCGCTGCTTTCAGAGGAGCGGCTCGGCCTTGACCCCGAGGTGGGGGCCATTCCCTGCTTGGCCCTGAAGAAGATGTGTTCCGGCTCCACCCCTGGGTGCTGGGTTCCATTCCTGGTGCCGCCTCCGGGCGCAGAAACCGCAAGCATAGGGACAGCTGACGCTCTGCAGCGTTTGCCGTGTGCCAGCCTGCTCCGGGTGTGTGATGCAGATGCGGACACAGCCGCGGAGAGAGCGCTTCCTCTGTGCACCTCTGTGTGTTAGTCTCTCGGTGGTGTGCAGTTCTTCGCAACCCCGTGGACTGCACCCTGCCAGGCTCCTGTGTCCATGGGGATTTCCCAGGCAAGAATACTGGAGTGGGTTGCCATTTCCTCCTCCAGGGGATTCTCCCAGCCCAGAGGTCGAACTCAGGTCTCCCGCATTGCCGGCAGATTCTTTACTCTCTGAGCCAGCAGGGAAGCTCCATGTGTGTGTGCATATATATGTACAGACACACTTGTTTAAACTTCACAATATGCATGTATGTGAGATGCCATTATAGGACTGTGCCCATTTTACAGATAGGAAAGTCGAGGTACAGCAAGGTGAAATGACTTGTTTAACAAGTACGAGGCAGAAGAGGGATCTGAGCCCAGACTGCCTGGTTCTGGCGTCCGAGCAGCTGCTCCCTTGACAGGCGGTGCGTTTTCTGGTCGTGGGAGTAGATCGTCACTTCTCAAGTGTAATAGCTCAGAGGTTGAGCAGAGAAGGGCCTTCAGAGGTCACTCTGCTCACGCACACGGAAGCTGAGGTCTGACCTGAGAAAGTGACTCTGCAGGGCCACACGGGGAGGGGATGAGAGGCCAGGAGACGTGGGGCCCCCGGCGCCCTCTGCTCCACCGCTACTCAGCCTCCCAGCCTCACCCGCACAGGCGCCGTGTCCGTCCCCCGTCACTGCCCCGCAGGATCTCTGCTGGTCCGGATCCTCTGCAGTGTCTGATACTGGCAAGTCTGGGGCCGCAGGAGGTGCCCATGGCAGAAGGCCTGAGCCTCTGCCTCCACCCCAGCCCTTGCCCATCCTTCCCATTTGTAGCCAGAATCTCAGTTATTCTCCTGTCTCAGAGGTACGGAGGCTGTGGTTCAGATGGGTTAAATGGCTCACCTTCACAGTCAGCCAGGAGAGTCAGTGCTTCCCAAGTGGCGTAAATAGTCATTCATTCTTTTGGTAACAGAGGAGGGCAGCCCCGTGCCGGGCACTGGCTGCAGAGACGCACCTCCCAGGCCCTGCCTCCGGGGAGAGGCAGTTGGTGTCCTGAGAGATGCTGCCCAGAAAGGACACCTAACCCAACCAGTTGGGGAGGGGAATCCAGAGGGCTTCTTGGAGGAGGCAGTAGACACCATGGCTAAGTCTCCAAGGATAACTGGGAGGTGGGCAGGCAGAGAGGGAGAGGCCCCTGGGGACAGCAAGTACAGAATCAGGAAGAGAGGGCTCGCTCGGCCGGGAGAACCACAGGTTGTTCAGAACCTGCCCAGCTGTGGGCAGAGTCCCCTTGGGCGGCTTACTAAGCCCGCAGGGGGCAGCAGGCACCGGGCTGGGCATTAGATGCTGCTGATGTCCCGTCCCCATTACAGGTGGGGCAGCCAAGGTGCGGTGAGGCTGAACACCGCCCTGGTAGTGAGTCCTGGGGGGCAGGATGGCTGAGACGCGTGTGGAGTCCTCCTCCGGCAGCGTGACGGTCCTTCTGTTAGCCCGACTGGTGCCTGTGGAGCTGGGCTTCCCATCCTGCCGCCCCCGTGGGTGTGGCCCCTCCTGATGACTCTGTTTTCCTCCCGCAGGTGGAGGGACAGTCCAGAGCCCACGTCATCGCGCAGGAGCTGCTGTCTTCAGAGAAAGCGTGAGTCCCTGAGCCGCGGCCCATGGCCTTGAGGTTGATAACAGAGTGTCAGCCCCTGCCCGGCTTGTGCAGAACGAGAATTAATGCCCACTCCACCCTCTCTCCCCCTGCAGATACGTGGAGATGCTCCAGCACTTGTATCTGGTGAGTTAGTCATTTCAATTGTCCAGAGCGAATTGCCCTCTGACACGGCTATGATACAAGGGGCAGAAAAGCAATAGCGGAGACAGAGGCGCCTTCCACTAGCAGAGACCCCGTTCACCGGGGCTTCTCAGGGAAGCCGTCCCCTGATTCCTGTGCTTCGGGGGGCGGATGGCATGGGCTTCCCGTGGAGCTGCACTCTGCCTGGGTAGGGGGTGGGGGGTGTATGGGGAATGTGCTAAGGTTTCCGGAAGGGTGTTTGCAGTCTCCTTGACGCTCAGATTGAGGAAGACGGAAGGAAGACAGGTGTCGTTCTGGGTCGTCGCTGTGTGTGTTGAGTTCAGATGTGTGGGGTGGGGGCGTGCATGTGCATGCGTGTGCATGTACATGTATGTGCGCGCACTGTGTGTTTAGGCCTCTGGGGAGAGGGTGATGTGTTTGCAGAATGGCCCAAGCGGCTGAGGTAGTGAGAGTTTGTCTCAGTCACCCTGGCATTGGGGCAGCAGTGCCTGAGCCCGTGGGAGGCGCGGGGGCAGTCCTCTGGACTTTGAGAGGAAAGGAGGCCAGATTGGGGACTGCCTGGATTTGCGGCTTGACCACCCTCCACAGCCCGCCACACCGCCTGCAGTCTCCCTGAGCCATCCGTTCCCTTCCGTTCAGTGAACAGTTTTTGGACACACGCTGTGTGACGGGAGCTGGGGGTGGAAAGTGGGATCAGACAGGGCCCTTCCCCAAGGGCAGTCTGGCCAGTGAAGGAGACAGATGACATAGGTAGTTATCCCAGTGCACGGGGGAGTAACTGACAACCTCAGGGAGTCTCGGCAGGCTTCCTGGAGGAGGTGGCGTTGGGAGAGGCAGGGGAGGGGCAGGGGAGAGGGCCAGCAGAGCCGCGAGGACACGCATCACATAAAGGCTCTGGTGGCAGCTCCCGGCTCGGCCGAGCTCTCATCGTCTGCGGGCTCCTCAGAGGTCGCCTTCTGGTCCTCTGCTTCGTATGATCCCTTCCGTCTTTCCAAGAGCATCAGAGCTGGGAGCGTCCGTCCTGAACGTTGCGTCAGTGGTGACATGGAGGCCCAGAGGGGGTGACTCGGCCAGGGTCACGCGCTGACCGGGCCGGGATGAAGCCCCGGGTCTCCTGATTCCTGATGCGCTCCCGTCGCGTGTCGGGAGCTCCTCGGCGCGGGGGCCTCCCTGGAGGCAGCAGGCACCGGCGCCCAGCCAGGCCTCCGGTTGAATCCCACTGAGGTCTCTGTCGGTGACATCACCCTGGTGTCCCGTTGCTGCCAGGGTCCCCAGGAGGGGGACAGAGCACTGCTGATCTGTGCTCCCAGCCCCTGGTTTTCGCCCTTCTAGCTCAGGACTTTTTGTGCAAGGTTAAACCCGCATGCCCTCGGGTGTGAAGCGAACCAGCCCCAGGGATGAACCTCAAAGATGCACTTAGCAATGGCTACGGGAAGCAAGACTCTCCCGCGGCTGATGTTCTCTCGCTTGCTTCTGAGCTGGCCGTGTATCCGAGGGGCTGGGCCTTTCTGTTTTATGACTTCGTTGAGAGGGTTCTAACTGGGAAGCTTCCATCTGGGCTTGGACTGCTTCCTGCCAGTTGGAAAGATGCTGAAACCGCTGGTAATCCATGACAGTATCCTGAGGAGGGGAAAAAAGAGCCCATAAAAAAAAAATCACAATTCAGAAGCTAGTGTGGGAAATTGTGGTCTGGGTTTGCACTGTGACATCAGTGTTTATGGGGAGAGACGTGGCAGAAACACCCCAGTGAGACTCCTGAGTCCTAGCCAGGGACACTGGTCCAAAGGAGACCACAGACTCTGGAATGTTCTCCACCACTGCCCTCCCCAGGGTCTTTGCCTGATTGCTGAGGTTGGTGGGCACTGTTAAGAATTTCTCCATGGAGATCCACTGCTGTTGAAATCCCAAGGCTGCCTGCCCCGTCGTGGAGAGGGACCAATGACCCATTCATTCCAGAACACTCCTCAACTCCACTGTGCTCTTGATGAGAGGCAGATGGGGATGGCCTCTGACCTTCTGTGTTTCGGATTCAACTTCGTGTTTCTCATGTTGTAGATGGAGCTATCTCTGGGATTAGTAAAATTTCTGGTCATCCGGAATTGAATTCTGATGGTCAGGATCTTGTTTTCATATAGCCTATGAACTAAAAATGGATTTCACATATTTTAAACACTTGTGGGGAAAAAAGGCAAAGAAGAATTATGTGACTGAGACCATATGTGGCTCACAAAGTCTGAAATGTTTATCATCTGGCCTTTACAGGAAATTTTGCTGACTTCTGGTTTAAAGACTTGTTCTGTCCTTCCATGAACCAAGTCCTAAATATATTCATCCACCCATCCACCTGTCTGTATTTTCAATTTCTCATCCACTCATCTAGCCAGGATTTCATCCACTTGTTTTTCCTTTCATCTGTGCATGCAGCTAATGATGTATGCATCCACCCAGTCATTCATCACACTCCCCATCCACCCATCCACCCATCTATCCATCCATCCATCCAGCCAGCCAGCCAGCCGTCCATCCATCCATCCATCCATCCATTCAGCCATCCACCCACCCATCTATCCACCCAGTCATTCATCAAACTCCCCATCCACCCACCCACCCATCCATCCATCCATTCATCCATCCATCCATCCATTCAGTTGTCCACCCTCCCATCTGTCCACCTAGTCCTTCATCAAACTCTCCATCTATGCATCCATCCATCTATTCATCCATCCACCCATGTATCCCATCATTCATCAAATTCCCCATCCACCTACCCATCCATCCATCCATCCATCCATCCATCCATCCATCCATTCATCCAGCCAGCCAGCCAGCCATCCATCTATCCACCCTCCCATCTGTCCACCTAGTCCTTCATCAAACTCTCCATCTATGCATCCATCCATCCATTCAGCCATCCACCCATGTACCCATCATTCATCAAATTCCCCATCCAGCTACCCATCCATCCATCTGTCCATCCATCCATCCATTCCTCCAGCCAGGCAGCCAGCCATCCACACACCCATCCATCCATTCAGTCATTCATCAAACTCCCCATTCATCCATCCATCCATCCATCCATCCATCCATCCATCCGCCCACCCACCATCTATCCATCTGACTTACCCGTTCCTTCTGGACAGAACATGACAGGATGTTTCCAACACTGTAGGCACTGGGATAGGCCTTGGGTCCGCAAGATGGAAAAGGCCCAGAACCTTCCCTTGAGCAGGTGTCTCTTTCTCTGTTGAGGGGAGGGTAGAAGTAGGGAGGAGAACTGCACCTGAGCCACAGTGCTACTCTGTGGGGAGTGTGACTTGTGCGGATGTCCTCAGGAGCGTGGGGGATGGACAGGCTTATTCCCCTTGGGTATATCCAGGAAGGTAGGCAGAAGAGCACAGAGTTTGAGGAAGTCCCCAGCCCGGGTGGTTGGAGGAGGGCAGGTGGTCAACTCAGGAGCTCCCGGGCCTGAAGGTGCATGTAACGTGTGGAGAACGGGCACTGTCAATGCACCTTTAGCATGGGTGCGTTCGGAGAGGCGGGTTGGAGATGCAGTGAGGGGTCAAGTGACTGGTCCAGAGCCAAGGTTAGAACCAGACTGAGACGTCCCTAAAAATGCCAGGCTCGGTGGCTTCTGCTTTTTCTCGCATAGAGTGAGTCACTGGCGATTTTGAACTGATGTGGTCCCAGCACCTTCAGGTCTCGGTTTTCTCATCTGCAAAACATCCCTCTCCTGGCAGACACAGAGCATTCCCACCTTCGGTCTCTGGGCTCAGACGCTGTAGGCCTGTGCAGAAGCCAGCATGCCGACTGGGAGAGGCGACTCTGGAAGCTGTCACCGTCTGAGACCCCAGGAGAGGCCCCTCCCCGGGGAGGCCCTCCTTGACCCGATCCTCACCCGTGTCTGCACCGTCTCCTCCGACCGCTTCCTCCCTGCTGTCCTGCAGACGCTGTAGACAGTCACGTCTGTGCGTTTTGCCCCTGTGGTTCTGGGGGAGCCCCGTGAGGCAGGCTGTGGGTGTGGGTTCGATCTGCTGAAGGTGCATGGGAGGCTGTTGGGTGACCCCTGCAAGAGTGCTGGTGGCCTGCAGCGCTGCGGACTGTGAGCCCGGTGAGCACGGGAAGGGGAAGGTGGGCTGACCTGTTGGCGCGTTAAGGCAGCAAGCGCTGGAGGGGGTCAGGCTGAGCCTGGGGACCCATGGCGGGGGCGGAGGCTGGAGGCTTGGGGAAGGATGTGCATGGGAAGTGTTAGGTGGAGAGCGGTTAGCTGACGCTCCAGGAGAGGGCTGTCAGCCTGGGGCAGGGGCCTGAGGACTGGCAGGCTCTTAGGAAAGAGCGAAAGGACTTGGGGAGGGGGATTAGGCAGACACAGTGCAGAAGGGCGAGGAGAGGCTCACGGGTCCGCCCTGAGCCCTCCCTCTGACAGCGACCCCCCAACCCTTCTCGGTGGCGGTGGACATCAGGAGCACCGTGGACCCAGCCCGACTCCCCACACTGCCCAGAGAAAGCGGGGAGTCCCTCTGTCTTATCAGCACATAGGAGGTTCATTTGGCGGCGGCCTCGGTGCTGACATGAATGACTGGGCCAAACACAGGGTCTAGAGGGACTTACCGGCAAGTTTAAGACTTTATTTACCTAAACTGGTGAACTGTCAGTTTGAGCCCGCTAGCCCCCTTTCCCCACCCAGCCGTGGGGCACTGGCGGAGCTCCTCCGGCGTGCACTTGGCAGTTTACTTACGTTGGTACACTCAGTCGCACACAGTTTGTGCTCAGCAACTATTTCTCAGGTGGTTGGGTGGGTCCCAAACTGAGTCCCAGGGAAGGTGACTTACCCAGTCACACAGCCTGTGAGCGGCAGAGCCAGGCCTGTTTGAGTCCAGAGCCCTGAGAAACTGGCTGGTGTTCAGTCGCTCAGTCACATTCAGCTCTTTGCGACACCCTGGACCGCAACACCCCAGGCTTCCCTGTCCTTCACTATGTCCCGG